AGCATCCGCTTTGAGCCTTCCGCTTTGGGAGTTAGTGCCTCATGATTCAGGTACACAGGGTCTCACAGTTATTAGCTTAACTATTTACGGCCTTTCCAGGTTTGTATTCACATATCCCCTATTATATTTAGGGTTTTAATGATGCCACGCATTAGAATGGGGCATATCCGGATCATAAAAATCCACAAATTTAAGTTCTGCGATGAAAATGATGTAGGACTTGAATAACTGATGCAAGATCTAGTTATAAATCGGTCTTGGCATCCGATCTTTTTGCCTGAGGAACTAGACCCCAGAAGAATGTTGAAGAATATGTGCACCTAGGACATTAACGAGAGACTTGGAATTACCAGGAGGCGATGAGCTATGTCTGAGGTAACCGATACCACAGGGTGCAGCTCATAGTGCACCGGATATCTACTACACAAATTACACAAATGGCTAGATGGATAGATCATGTACTTAGTTGAACTTCTATTGCACATTTTTTAGTCCCTTTGTAGAAAGAGTACAGAGATGAATTCATCCATGTCATCACAATCGTGTCCATTACATCCGGTTGCGTTGGCGGGGAGCCGAACGGATGATGTTGTCCACCCGCAGGAGAAGCTAAAAGAGAGTCAGCGTGTGTTCCAGTATCAAGGATAAGAAACAGTGATATACATACCTCGGCTGCCTCTGAGGCAGACGAAACCACCGCCTTCTTCAACTTATAAGCCTCCACCACACCAAGCTCACGCATATCCGCAATACCACCACCGGGCGTCAACAGGTCAAGACCAGAGCTGGTCATACCGTTGTTGATGGCCGAGCGCAGGCGAGTCACGAGATCGCTAGAATCCAGACCGGCATTATCAGCCAGAATGGTAGGCAGCTGCTTCAAAGCGTGAGCGAAGGAGTCGACAGCAAGCTGCTTCTTGCCAGTCGTGTTTTGAGCGGCCTGTTCCACGGCCTTGGACATCACCATCTCGGCGCAGCCACCACCAAGTGTGACACGGGGATCCTTGACAGTCTGGGAGAGGACGGCAAGAGCATCGTGGAGCGAACGCTCGGCCTCATCGAGAAGCTGCTCGGTGGCACCGCGGAGCACAATGGTGCAGGCCTGACCAGCGGCCACACCGGAGAACTTGATCAGGGTATCCTCACCAATGATGACCTCCTCGATCAGATCACACCCACCGAGCTTGACCTGGTCGGGGTGGTCAAAGGTGGAGGCAATTTCACCACCGGTAACAAGAGCCAGGCGCTCAATGCCGTCGAAATCGGCATGCTCGATGGACATGATACCGGCCTCGGTGAACAGCTGCTCGGGCCAGTTGTAGATGAGCTGACGGTTAACGAAGCAGTTGATACCGTGAGCCTTGATACGCTCGACCTTTTGGCGCATCTTCTCGCGCTCTGCCTTCTCCAACTCAGCAAGCTTGCCGGTCGACTCTACCTTGACCCGTGCACCGAAAATCTTGACCTTATCTGTGTCCATTGCTGTGTTGGCAACAAGGATCTTGGCGTTCTCCAACCGCTTGGGCTGGTTGACACCGACCTTTTTGTCCATAATGAAACCCTCATCGAGGTATGAATCGCTCAGCTTTCCACCGGCCTTCTTGATAATCTGAATGTGAGAAAGATCGGTGGATCCCTGGAGACGCAGAACGGCCTCACAGGCCAGCTTGGCGAATTGGTCCCGGTCTTGGGACAGAACCTTCGAGCTAAGTGTTGTGCGGGCAATGGCGTGCAGGTCCTTGCGGAAAGCCTCGGGGTCCTGGCTGCGGTCGACCGCGGTAGCCTCGAGAGCGGCGAGGGCAGCCTTGCTGGCTATCCGGTAACCCTCGATAATAGTCTGGGGGTGAATCTTCTTGGCAACAAGTTGTTCGGCCTCGCGCAGCAACTCGGCAGCCAAAACGGTGACTGATGTGGTTCCATCACCCACCTCATCGTCCTGAACCTTGGAGATGTTGACCAAAACCTTAGCAGCAGCGTTATCCAAGGCGATGGACTTAAGAATCGTAGCACCGTCGTTCGTCACCAGGATATCTCCTGTGGATCTGTGAGAACACCAATGTCAGTATTTCCGGGGTTATATCAGCACATAGGATTATCGATAACCCCCCCACGTACGCAGATTGTAGGATCTTGTCCATTCCCTTGGGACCAAGGGTACTCTTCACGAGGTCTCCGACGGCGATAGCACCGACAAAGGCCGAGAGACGGGCGTTCTCGCCCTTCTCTTCAATGACATCGTCACCAAAGATCTGTGTGGGATTGCCGAAGGATGCCTAGGAGGGGCAGAGGTGAGCCAGTGCATATATTTTCCACGCTCCCGCGGGTCGACTTTGGGATAACATACCATGATGACCAGCTAAATAAGGCAATCGACCAAAGATCAAATGTCTTGCTGGAAAGGTTGAATCAACTTCTCCTGTCAACAGTGGGGTGGGAAAGGAGAAAAGTTGCGGCACGATTGGCCCGAGCTTGTGATTGGCTGCACTGCATCACCGCCCGCGATGTCTCTAGACGTTTCCTTTGTCGTGACGATCCCGTTCGCTGGAATTGACTCTATTTCTTACAATTGCGACAATGGCTGACTCTGGCGAACTTGCTCAGGCTCCCGCGAACAAGCGGCCTCACTCTGCTGTCGAAGCCGAGAACAGTGAGTCCCCTGCATTATGGAACCCATCCAGACCGCTCCCTCGAATGGCACGTAGTAGATATTAATTCTTTGCGATTGCTAGGTGATGACTCTTCCGACGATGATTTCGGCCCAGCACTGCCCTCGGAGGTCGCCCCCAAGAAGAAGCGGCGCAAGCTGCCTTTCGAGAAAGTCTACATCAATGCGCTACCAGTCTCCGCGCGGTACTCCAAGTCCCTTATGCACAAGGACCAATTATCATTCGTGACCGTTGCGCCCTATACCGACTTTGTGATCACTTGCTCCGTTGATGGATATGTCAAGTTTTGGAAGAAGATGGCGGAAGGCATTGAGTTCGTGAAGGAGTTCCTTGCTCACCCAGGCGAGATTCGCGGCGTAACTGTCAGCGCCGACGGCCGCAGTTTCGCGACAGTGGGAGTGGACAAGACAGTGAAGATCTTTGATGTTATTACATTTGGTAAGCTCACAATGTGTGGCTCTTGTGGTTTAGTTACTTGCTGACATTAGTAGATCTCTTGTCGATGTATACGCTGGACTTTGTGCCTCGCTGTGTTTGCTGGGTACACCCGCGCGGGGCCTCGCTGCCCCTGCTAGCCGTGACAGACGAGTCAAGTAATACGATTCATGTATTCGACGGACGTGGCGAAAATCCCCAGCCATTGCACACATTGAAGTCGATCCACCGCAGCCCCGTGGTCTCACTAGCATTCAACAACGCCTTCGACTGCGTCGTCTCCGCCGACGAATCAGGAATGATTGAATACTGGAGAGCTGGAGACGGATCTTTTGAGAAACCCGACAACGTCTTCGACCTCAAATCGTCAACCAATCTCTTCGCATTTAAGAAAGCCAAATCCGTCCCGACAGCCATCACAATCTCCCCGTCCGGCGAACATTTCGCCACGGTTTCCTTCCCAGATCGGCAAATCCGAGTATTCGACTTCGCAACGGGGAAGCTTTACCGCACATACGACGAATCAATAACCACTATCACGGAGATGCAGCAGGCGGGGACAGCACCATACGAGCTTGACGAAGTAGAATTCGGACGCCGCCTAGCCGTCGAGCGTGAACTCGAAGGCGAAGCAACCCGCAGCAAAGTGAATGTCTGTTTCGATGAATCCGGCCACTTCCTCCTCTACGGCTCCCTCTACGGCGTGAAATGCATCAACACCTACACAAACCGGGTAGTCCGCGTCTACGGCCGCGAGGAGCCATTCCGATCCCTCAACCTTGCATTATACCAAGGACAACCGCAACGCAAAGGCGTTGTGACCGTGTCAATGGCAGCCAGTAGCAACCCGCTCCTCCAGGAAGCCGAAGAACGGGACCCGATTCTCTTCAGCACTGGCTTTGCCAAGGTGCGCTTCTACATGTTCACGAACGAAACAGAGATCTCGAAATCCGCCCGCGATGTCCAAAATGAGAAGCCAACCCAGGCCACAGCCAGCACTGGTACGGCAGTTACCAAAGCCGCCGAGACCGGCACTGCTGCAATCCTGCACACAACGTTTGGTGACATCCACCTGCGCCTGTATCCCTCGGCTGCGCCAAAGGCCGTGGAGAACTTTGTCACGCACGCCCGGAATGGCTATTACAATAACACGATCTTCCACCGTGTGATCCGCAAATTCATGATCCAAGGTGGCGACCCACAAGGCGACGGGACGGGTGGAGAGTCTATCTGGGGCGGGGAATTCGCAGACGAGTTCTCCGTTCTCAAACACGATAAGCCCTATACGCTATCGATGGCCAACGCTGGCCCCAACACAAATGCTAGTCAGTTCTTCATTACCACGGAGAAGACGCCATGGTTGGATAATAAGCATACTGTGTTTGGACGTGCGGTACAGGGCTTGGATGTCGTGCACAAGATTGAGAATGTGCGGACGCATAAGGAGAAACCAGAAGTTGATATTAAGATTGTGAGTATTAGCATCTCGTGATATATCAACCCCGAATGGAATCTAGATGTATTACAAAATATGTGTATAAGGAATCATGAAATGCGCGCACGCGTTGTACTATGTACTCTGTCACTTGATCAGACACTTTGAAAAAAAAAAAAAAAAAAAAGAAATTTGGCGAATATCGTAAAAAGAGAATGGACGTAGTCGTCAGAAGCAATCATTCTGCCATACATTGGGTCTTTGGCCCCATAGAACAAGGAAAGGAATGATAAAGAGAGAAAGGGGAAACCCAACAATAAGAGAAACAGCGCACAGCGTGAAGCCCATTATCCGTACCAAACACCAAGAAATGCAACCATAGCCAGGTAGTATGGTATAGAAGTAGCGCATTGCAAATAAAAGAAAATAAACATAAGAAACCCAAGAACCAGACGAATCCAGCCTTAAACCTGCCGAATCTCCACATCCCCAGAGCCCTGCTCGATCTTGGTCAATCGTGTCCGAGTCCCAGGAACAGGACTGCTAGTCTTGGCCACGGTAGAGCGCGAGCTACTAGCGAGAGAGTCGGCAGCAAGGCCGCGCACAGGCAGCGGTGCCGGGCCCGGACCCCAGGCGGCATCGCGCGGAGCGGGCGGGGAAGTTGTCAGCATACCGCTGCTGCCTCCGCCGTACAGATGTGGCCGTTTCGCTTCGTATCGACGCTTGAACCATACGCCGAGGACGGCGATGATGCTGAATCCGATGGCTAGCACGATGACCATAATGACCCAGCGGTAGTGGGAACTCCACCTGAAGGGAATCTAGTTAGCGATCTGGATGCGTGTTGGGATGACCGATTTGCGCCGTGTTGGGATCAAACGTACCATGACTCCTTCTTCTCTGTAGCGGCGGGGGTTTTGTTCGTATTTGCGCTGGAGCCAGATTCGGATTTCGAGGTATCAGGTGTAGAGGCTGGTTGGGCTGCGGTTTGGGTTGTTGTAGCCCCGGTGTCGGCCGCAGTGTCGGTGTCGGACGTATCCTTGCCACCGGAGTTGCAGTAGTTGTTGTACCAGGTTGAGAGAGTGGCTTGGTCGGCGGCGGCGCAGGAGGAGCAGATGCTGCCGGAGGATTTAAGGCCGGTCAGCAGGGCCGACTGGCAGAAGCATGAGGTCCAGGTTGAGGCGTCGCCTGCTTGGCAGGACGTCTGCGCGGTTGTCAGGGTGGTGCAGGCCAGGCCGCATTGCGGGAATTTACTGGAGGCGGATGTGGGGAGGATGCTGTCGGCGGCTAGGGCTGAGATTGTGAGGGCGATAAGGGTGAGAAGGACTGAGAGGCGCGTAGTGAGTGACATGGTGAGAGATGTTTTGGAGCGAATGTCGGAATGGGCCCTGAGGCTCGATTTGATGTCTGTATAGGATTTCTCAGTCCATAGTTGCCAGTAGGTTAAAGAGAAGGGGAGTCGAAAGAGCAGAAAAGAGACGAGAGAGTTTTGGGTCTAGTCAGGGCCGAACGATGCCGGATACAGTCTTTTCGGTCTTTTCGGTCTTTTTGCTTTTTTTTTCTCTTTTTTTTAACTGGCCCTACCGAGTGATCTGACTAGTTTTTAATTTCATTTTAATTACCTTATAATGTTTAGTAGTATCGGTGCCTGACTATGATCGCATCCGTCTTTTTAATCTCCGCAAACGGAGGGGATTTCCCTTCTCTTCTGATTTTCATCTAGGTCCTAAGGTCATCTTCTATCCGGCACTGACATCGCTGAATGCAGTAAATGATTGACCCGAGTCCCACGTTTTATGGCTATTTTTGATTCAACTACTGCCTTGGCTGAAGATCAATGCTTTTCCCATGCAAGGAGCTAGGGATATTATACAGAGTACTTTATATATACTCCGTACATCACATCGATATATGTATGGAGAACCTTTATTCTCTTTTCGCAGAATTTACCTGTACGGAGTAACTTCTCCCATTCATCAACTCCAAACGAGGGCCCACGATCGGCAGTCGCGACAGTTGGAATAAGGAGATGGATCTGTTTCAATCTCTTTTGAAGTGGAGATTCTAAGATTATATAGGCACCCTTATATGGAGTATAATATAGATCTGAATTTTGGAAGATAGAACACATTATGATATTATCTCATATCTCGTTTTTTACGGTGCAAATTCAATTAAATTCCGCCACGCTTATGGTCCAACCTTGGAAGGTCCCAGCGCCGTCAGATTCGATGATTTGGTTCGTATCGACCAAACGACGTGTCCTTTGTATGAAATTTATTAGTATAAAATCTGATATACGACATATCAAAATCAGGTTTCATTATTTTCCATAGACCTCGGGGAATATCGAGTTCTTCGCCTACACATGAAGGGCATACTTTTCAATCCCGTGGACAGAAGGTAAGAAAACATCTTTAGTTTAGCCCAGGTATTGACGGGTTAATTGGCCAGTTGACTCTACTGCGAAAAAGCTAACTAATCTCCGGGACTTGAGGAGTCCGAGATGATTGGATAACTCCACCTATTCCTCTCCCCCACATTCCCTCCTCCAACACCTTCATTATGGCTCCCTCCCGCCAACTCCTCTCGACCCTAATAACCTCCCTCGGCAACACCCGCTGGAGCCTAACCCGAACTCTCCGGAGTGACAACCCCCTCGACCTAAACGGCGAGCTCCGCGGAACCGCAACGTTCACCGCACAACCCCCAACCGCAACCCCCGATCGCGACTGGCTATACTGCGAAGAAGGCGAGATACCTAGCAATGTCGGTGTAGGCGCCTTACAGCCGGGCCTACGATGGACAAAGAAATACATATGGCGCCTAGGCAACGATAGCGGACGCGTCAGCGTCTGGTTCGTCAAAGTCGCGCCGGGCCCAGAAGAAGCAGACTACCTATTCCACGACTTCGACTTTGATTCGGGTTCTGGCTCGCTAGAGTCGGAGTCCGGGTCTGTGCAGAAGGATGCAGAGGAATTCGTCGCGCCGCCTATGCCGCCCGCTGTCTCGACCGGCAATGAGACTACTGTGCTCAATGCCAGGGGTAACCACCTCTGTATCAATGATATGTATCGCACGGCCTATGCGTTCCGTATTGCACCGGAGACCGGGGAGGTACTTAGTTGGGCTAGTCGACATGTTGTACGTGGGCCGAAGAAGGGGCAGGAGATTGTTAATCGGTATGAGAAGGGGCATGAGATGGGATTTAAGGATCCTACCCCTGCGATTTCTTCTCGTACGAGCCTACAGCCCCCGTTCCGTTAAACACCTTACGAAACGTGGAATTGTCCATTAGAATCATGATCGTGCATGTTCATTTATTCACATTATCTTGATGTGGCTTCCCCTTCCCACCTTATCCGGCCATCTCACTGCTCACAGTGTATAAATGAAATCCGGTCTCTTGTCACCCAGCAACTCGATCTGGTTCTGGGCCAAGCCCTGCATCCAGTGGTCGCGTTCACCGCGTCTGCGCTTGCTGTTCTCACGGCGCAGCAGGAGGTACTGCAATACGGATCCACCAAATTGGAACAAGACGAGGTAGCCGAGTACTACTCCGTGACCGGGGTAGTATCTTGGCTTATCCGCCGCGCGGTAGATGTTAGATGAGACGATGCCGTTGAGATTTCCCCAGCCGATGATAAATCCGAGGGAGACACCTCGTTTGTATACACCTAGACAGCAATCGAGTTAGTCTTGGATTTATGTATTAGATACAAGTGGAATCTAGGGTGGAATTTACCTTCGGTGTTGTTACTGGTCCACGAAATCGTGTTCGCAATGGCTGGGTAAATGCCCATGGCCCCGAGGAAGGTTCCTGCGTAGCGGGCGCTGGCAGACTCACAGCCGAGTAGCATAGAGAAACCTACCATACCGAGGATCGAGACAGCCATATTGCAAAGACCACGCTGCCTTGTACGATCTGCAATAAAGCCAACTGTCACTGTCATGACGGCGGCGGCGGCATATGGCGGTACACTCAACAACTGTGCACGAATCGAGCTATAACCTATAGAAGCAGCAAGTTAGTAAATAGCTTCAATATGCCGAATGCAACAACCAAGGCCAGTATTTACCCTAAAAAAAAGTCATGTTAGCTCCAAAATCTGCAATCTCGCGATCTGACAACTCACTAGTTCACTGATGATAGTAGGGACGAAAAGCGAAAACGCATAAAGCGACCCATCAGCCCCCATATAGATCATCATTCCAGTATAAGTCTTCCAATCCTTCAGACTAGCCCAAAGGTAATCCATCTTAAACTCCTCATGCTCAGCACTCGACTGCTGATCCACAGCGAGTCTCCTAAGAACGCGCTTGCGATCGATTTCCGACAAGAATCGCGCCTTGTCAGGGAAATCGTAGACACACCAAAACGAGGCAACGCCAATTACGAACGTAAGAAGACCTTCCAGAATGAAAATCCAAGACCAGCCTGGCTTACCGGCCACGCCGTCCATCTTCGCAATTGCTGCTGCTAGTAGGCCACCAAAGGAACCTGCGAGCGCGGCTGCGGAGAAGAAGATGGCCATTCGCACGCCAAATTCTGAGCGTTTATACCAGCACGAGAGGAAATAGCCTACTCCGGGGAATAGACCGGCTTCGGATAGACCCAAAAACCAACGGACAGCCATTAGTCCGTGGTAATTTTTCACGAAGCCCATGAAGGTCATGCAAAGGCCCTAGAATCAATTAGAAGAGTATTATATAAGAGCAATGGAGTGCTTCACATACCCATGCCATCATGATAAGTGGGATAAAGATACTCGGCCGCAACCGCTTGAGCAGGACGTTAGTCAGGGGCTCGAAGACTGAGTATGAGACGAAAAAGATAGTGAGTGTTGCATTGTATTGGGCATTGGTCATGTGCAGGTCTGTTTGAAGACCGACAAGTTTTGCGTTGCCGATATTTGTCCTTGAACGAGGTTAGATTAGTTTGCGATATTTCATCGGAAGTGATTGGTTGTTCTTTTGCTTACCGATCAAGGAACGAAACAAGATAAAGTAGACTGAGCCATGGCACGAGGCGCAAATCGAGTTGCCATAGTAGCTTACGATCCTATAGATATGTCGCGTAATTAGTTGCTGTCTCTGCAAAGGATCATTAAGTCACGCAGAGTCAAAGATAACTCACAATCTCCGCCCTTTCTTCAGCAGTCTTTCCTGCATCGGGATCCTCAAATCCAGCTGCAGCAAGGGGATCCTTAGCATCGAGAATTCCCTCAGGGTCTTCTGACCGAGAGTCAGTTGGTTTCTCAAAGGAATCAGAAGTCATAATGCAAGATCAAGCAGATCAGCAGAACGAATTCTTTGAAATCTGCGATCGCTGTTCGCCGACCTGCGAGTTTCTTAAGTAGAGCAAGGGAGACTGAGCAAAAAAAATAAACAAGCCACTCAGCACTAATGAGGGGCAAAGACACTACGCTCGTATCTGACAGATGATGCGAGACTACTCGCTAGGGTCCAATGAACGGCATGATTGCCACATTCTATACCCCGTGTGCAGGGGTTGCAGCATTAGCTTGGATCTGATTGCTGGGGCCCCGGGATGATCAGCACAGAATTGAGTGGTTGAAGATACGGTCGGCATGCAGTACAGAAAAATCCCGTAGAAGCGAGATTTAGAAAAAAAAAGAGCTAACATCATTGTAGGCAATTCGATTCAATTTTTGAGGCTCTCCTGAATTTGGGAATGCGAGAAACTACGACGAGTCTGGGCGTCTGGGGAATTAGGGTATCCCCATACCCCGGAGCTCCACAACCCCAAGATTTTCCCGTCCCCATCTCGAATGTATGCTTGGCCGAGTCCACAACGGCCCGCTTAGGATTGACCTGAGACCCTCGGCTTTGCTTAACGTCCTATGTGCTCTCGGCCGATAGCAAATTGGTGTCAGACCGAGCAAATACTGTCATAAGCCCGAAGCTAGTGAGAGTGTGGCGGTTAATATGCCCGATCTAGACATTGACTATGGGACAGATGATGACCTGCTCCGTAGCCCCGAAGAATTTGGGCGAATAGTCAGCCACTCATAGTACGCGGATTTGAAGTCCCTTGGTTTTTCTCTTGCACGCTAAGCCCCGCATTCAATGCACAGACAGGGCCGGCTTTAATGACCCGGGGTGATGACCGCACATGACCAAGTTGTGTTAGCCCACGATTAAATTACTATAATCCGGGGATCGCACATGACCAGTTGTGTGAGCCCACGATTAAATTACTATGATCTGGGGCCCAATTGAGGTATCATGACTCGCGATAGGCGCCTCGCGAAACAAACGCTAGGTTGAAATCACTAACTGTTCAGGGATCGGGCATCTCATAGCCCACCTGCGCCGGTGAGCTCTTGGCAGGGTATTAGTCGTGAAATTTTTCGGGAACCCCCGCGATGATTTGCTTATTGCATCTTGGGTTTAATGTGGATCCTGTTAGTATTATAAGCCAGAATAATATGTGAGATATTCTAAAACATAAATGTAGTTATGATGGAGACCCTGAAATTCATGGATGTACCCAGAAAAAAAAAAAGCCATAACCAACACGCTTATGCTTAGTGCAATGCGCCCATTTTTCTTTGCCGAGGCTACCCCAGGATTAAAACCCGTCTCCTATACGATACAACAGCCAATTTAGCCCAATCAAGCTGGCAGTATTGTTTTAACATGGCCCCTGACTAAAGCCCGTTCTTTCGCTTGATATCACCTGAACGGGATTCTGGCTTCATAGGGTTACCAAACCCATTGACGCGTCCATGGAGCCACTTGAGTGTAATGGTGCTCATTGCCATCACAACAGCACTAAGAGTGAATAGGCCAATACGGCCTGACGTGGGTAGTGCTTCGAAGATAGGATATGGGTACCTAGACTAATTAGAGAGTGACGCCGGAAGTGCTGGATCATATACGAACCATCCATTCTGGGAGAAGCATTGCTCAATCCAGAACCAGTAGCCGAAGGCGATGGTACCAGACAATGCTAGTGCCGGGAGCGCAGTGATTGTCCACGGTGGAGACAGGAGCAGCAGGTCAATCAGCATCACCACGGACGGTGTGGCGTGGAAGCTGATGTCTGTAACTGTGTCATTAAGGTTATCTCGAACAAATGCATTTCTAATAGACATACCGGCATGAACAGGGATAAAGATGTCCGGGGGGATCACCAAACGCTCATCAATCTATATGTGGATTAGATAAACGTCGACTTTAGCATTGAATTACTTACTATACGAAGACCCCAGTACAAGACACTGATAACAACCTCAAGGGGGGCACTGCATACTGATAGGATGTTTTTGACCAGGAACAGTCGCCGCGACGAGGTAATATCTGCTAGTAGTGCAACCGCGAAAGTGAGTGTTGACAACGACAGGCCAATCACGGTCAGGAATTGAAAATGCCAACCATATGCTTGATTACTGTGAAATTTAAAGTTTAGCTCGGTCCCCAATATCAAAACTAGACGGACGCTTACGCTTGGTTGGGGTTTTCGTGCATGCTTCAGCCATATCAGCAATGTCTCAAAAGGTGTAGCTTGAAGGGCCCATACTATTTGAATGACCACAGAAAGCTCGAAAGTCCGACCAACTGGCAAACAACCCGTTAGTGCTGGACCAATATAACAAGTGAAAGGACCACGGTACATGAACCAAGGCTGACAAGCCCCGTGAAGGGCTTGCCATCCACTGAAGTGGGTGCCTATCGACGAGAGAATTGGCCATATCAGGTTATGAATAAAGGACTGTAAGATACTCCAAATACGTTAGAAAGTAACACCGGGAATGCTACCTAAGCGCTTGAGAGAACCAATGTGCATCCAAGGAAGAAGCTATGACGTTATCGGGATAGCTCACGTGACAGTCGGGGCTAAACGGCTCTACTCGGGAAATGCCGGCTTCCCGCGGTTTGCCGGGCCAGGCTCCACTTGGGCAGGGGGTATCTCGGATTATAACATAACCCGGCTGATTCATCGCTTCCTTATCACGGCCATGTGCTTCCCCACACTTTTAGTCTGCCAGAGACAACTTTCTTCTTTGCATGACTTTTGCTATGAGTTTTTGCTCTTTGTCTGCACAGTGAGTTCAATCCGCTGTCTAGTGGATAAACCGGTACTTAACAGAGAAATCTTCTATTTGACATCTTATTTCGTATCCGAGGTTATCAAGATTGACACTACCCTGGTCATTTATCAGCTTTGTTTGCCCTCCCATTGCTGAAGGGCAGTGGGACTCGAATCGTTTCTGGCACATCTCCCTCCCATACCTCGATGTGCTTGTATACTAGGTGTGGGTGTCTGGTCGATTATCGCTTCGTCGCTACTTGGGGTCAACGAGGATCGAAACGTAGAAAGCGTGCCAACTCTGACCTGCTTTCAGCGTAAGAAGCCTGGATTGGACTAATACACACTTGAAACGACCGAATCTGTATGGCGGGACAATACATAGTGATCCTTGGCTATTTCGAGCCTCTGTTATCTTGAATTGTCTCTGTGCCCTCTTTACAGGCATCGATACTCGACCAGACGCCCTCTGACGTGAAATGCCTCGACCTAGAAGGCCCGGTGCACCAGAACCAAAGCGTCGAAGCCGTAAAGGATGTTGGTGCGTTACTAAAATCTCAACTCAAGCTTTGCCAAGACTAACAATCGCACTAGGCCATGCAAAGCACGCAAGGTAAAATGGTGAGAAACACAATCCCTGCATGATACTCATGTAACTAACAATTATTCTTGTAGTGGCGAAGAGAAACCAGCATGTCTGAATTGCCAGCGACAAGGCGACCCTTGCGACTATAGTGTCCGTCTGAACTGGGGAGGAAGGACGAAACGCATATCAATTGACTCGCCGAATTCACAATCTAGTGGGTATGGGGGAGCTGTAATTGGATTTTCAGATTCATTCACTCTCAACGATCTGAGCCCGATTTCGTTCCCCACACCAACGAGCAACCCTACAGATGGATTTGTCGACATTCATCCCGGGGACTTGACTTCACCACGATCAGTATCTCCGTGTACAACAGCACCAGTGGCCCTTTTCGAATCCCCCAGGCTCTCAGGCTCCGAAGGAGTGACACCACCGGATCAATTACAGTCTCGGTTCTCCGCAACTTGGGCGGAACAAACTCATCCATTGACAACATCCGCATCCTCGGCGCCTTTATTACAGTATCAATTTGGACAGAGTTTTGATCCTCCATCATATCTTGGTTCGATGGATCAGGCATCCGGTCTCAGATCACTATCTGCCTTTGCATTTCACACGAATCCGGTGTCGCAGCCAGTTTCTTACCTGCGCCACTCTGTAGATGCTTACAACCACAGCCCGGGTCCATCTATCTTCCACTCTCGTGATGAAAGGCATCTTTCTCAAGAGTCACACGATGACCAGGGCATGCATCTTGGCACAGGGTCTGGGACAGAGCAAAGCAGATCCTCACACAGCCCGCAGGATCCTGGCGGCCTATCCTCCATGCTTTTCGATGCACACCGAGTGTCGATCGCTGAAAGCGATGCAACCTCGTCTCTGAGGCTCCACGAGGCCCCCAGCAACATTATCTCTGTACATGACTATCACAACGAATTGAGTTCAGATCATCAGGTTGTGGGAGAGAGCAACCATGAACCTGATCAGGCATCCCACGAGTCTTCAATGGCCCAGAACAACTGGCAAACATATCTGAATAATGTGACGGACAATTATGGATTGGACTCCGGGCGCCCTGATCAGGATTTGACTTTCAACAACGACCATGCTGCCATAGACATCAACTATGCGTTGGATTTGATCAGTTCTCGGTGGCGCAACGAGGAACCTGCACAGTCAAAAGCCTCTCAGCGTGACCCCGAACCCCAGGTCCAGTTCTGTAGTGGCTATTATGCTTCCCCGGTGCCCATCAATGTTCCGAGATACTTGTCTCCGCTTCCGTCATCGCTGCTGGAGAACCCCATCAATTTGATGTACTTCCATCATTTCCTGAATCACACTGCTCGAATGCTAGTCCCCCACAACTGCGATAACAATCCGTTTATATCGGTCTTGCCATCAAGTGAGTTGTATTCCTCTATGTTCTGTTGTCTTTCAGAGAGCTGACCAAACAGTGGCAATCGGCGATTCCAATCTCCTAAACTTGCTACTTGCATACTCCGCTAGTCATCGTGCTCGATACCTAGGTCATCCGGAGCCCGCCAATCGAATCGCTCATTGGGTCAGCAATGTTTTTCCAACCTTACGTATGGCATTGGAGTCATCAAATGAAGACATCACCGACAGTCACTTGGCTACGGCCATTATGCTGTTGTCCTTAAAGATTGTTTCCCCAGGAACATTTGAAGTGCCGATCACCTGGAAAGCTCACCTCAAGCTTGCTCGCGATTTATTCCTTGCACGGAGCGAGAGCCTTGCGCGGCCTGGGAACAGGATTGGGGCGCTCTTCGCCCGTTGGCTGGGCTATCTCGACACGATAGGATCTTTGTCATGTCGCGAAGCCGGTCCTCCACTAATGGTCTACCACTCCATCTTAACAGCTTGCTCCGCGCCCGGCGGTCATGATGAGTTCGGCGTTGACTGCTTCACGGGGTTCACTCCCCGCACAGGAGTATTTCTGATCCGTCTTGCACGGCTGGTGCAGGAAGCTGACAATCAACGCTTCGACGAAATGGGTAACTTCCGACGTGACTGGCAGGCATCTGCGGAAATGGCCCTGGAAGGGCAATCCTTACTTGTTGATATCGACGACGATATCAGCGAAGGTCCTCATACTATCCCGGAACACCATCATGGTCTCGAGTCCTTGGACATGATAGCCATCGAGGAAGCCTTCCGGTTTGCCGGTATCCTGCATCTTCATCGGCGTATTCTTGGGTCTCCGCCTGACTCGCTTCCGGTGAAAAAGGCCCTGCGCAAGCTCATTGACGCTCTTGGACGCATGCGCCCTGGTGCAGCCACTGAAGTATGCTCCTTGTTCCCACTCTTCACGGCTGGTTGTGAATCCAGAGATTCAGTTCAAAAAGAGAAGATTTTGGACCGGTTCTTTGTGTTAGAGAGCTCGGGCATGAAACAGGTACGCTTCTATACTGGCCTAAGGTTCATTTGAAGAGATTCGCTGACGGTTTGTTCACTAGATTCAAAATGCACGTCAGTTGATGCAACACTGCTGGGATAAAGACCTGCCTTGGATTGCCCTGGCTAGCGGTCAGTTCTTAGGTTAGTGTTGGTGCTTTCTCGGTTTGAACTTTCAAATTGGGCGATCCTGCCAGCCTTAATTTAAAGATACCAGGTGCTCACGATGTCTGGCGATGGTCTGAGTTAGGATAGAGCGGTATATAGTATGAAGGGTCTCTCTCGCCTTCTAAGCCGAGGTGTCGCGCGATGCCCTTAAAAGGTTTGCCCTTTGGCGTGTCAGGTTCGTCCTTCTCTTCCACTATTTATATCCTCTTGTCATCCACTCCACCTTCCACCTATTACCCATAGTTCCTATCTTCTGCTTGTCGGCAAACTTAATCATGTCTATTCTACCAGCATTTGCATTACACAGGCCAACATTCCAAGTTGCACGGATTAATTAGTTATAACTTATATGTATATATCTTTATAGCTAATTCTAATATTCCGATATATTGGACGGACTATAAATATCAATAACCACGACTCCGCAGCGGGGTCGCTGATCCCCCAGCTTTTCCACGCCAAGCCAGTCCAGCCGAGGCCGCTTATGATGTAGGTTGTTTAGATTATGAATATAACCGAGAGATGGTATATAGGAGTGAGGATTTAGACACAGGAACTATATCCACTTGAACAGAAATTGTATACTTCCCAGCATCCATCATGATCTTCGATCCCAGCCCCATCGAGCTTCCGTCTTCTTACGAAAACGTTAAAACAACCGGCCATGTTGTCGTCTCTCATTACCCCCGGGGCGCCCCAGCAGTCACCCCAGTTGTCATTGTAACGTTGAATCGTCCTGCTAAACATAATGCATTCACGGGGCAAATGGTCCTAGACTTCGAGAAGCTCTTCCCCATGTTCGATGTCGACGAGCGCGTGAAAGTTGTCGTTTTGACGGGCGCGGGAAAGACGTTCTGTGCGGGTGCAGACCTTGATATTGGTTTCAGTGGTGGTAATGATAGGATGGCGGACCATCGTGACGGGTAAGAGAACGTCCACCCGATAGCTCGCTGTATACTCTCGCTAAGAAACCCAACCCAGTGGTGGACGAGTCGCACTGGCCATCCATAGATGCCGCAAGCCAACAATTGTAGCAATGCAAGGCTCAGCCGTTGGTGTGGGGATGACTATGGCTCTTCCAGCGATTATCCGGTATGTCAATCGTATCCAGAGAACATGCATCTGCCAGAGTCTTTTTTGTTAACGTGCGTATCCCTTGTCCTTCTAGAATTGGCTATGAAAAAGGCAAATACGGATTCGTCTTCGCCCGCCGAGGTATAGTCCTGGAGTCATGCTCCTCATACTTCCTCCCCCGCCTCGTCGGTCACTCAAACGCCAGCTATCTCGTCAGCACGGGAGGAGTCTTCCCGCCTACATCTAAGCACTTCGGCGACCTTTTCAATGAGATCATCTCCGACCCATCGCAGGTCCTGCCGCGCGCTCTGGAGCTAGCCACTGAGATTGCGGAGAATGTGAGCCCGGCTTCGTCGTACCTCAACCGGGCGCTTCTGTGGCGCGATACAGGGTCGGCGGAGGCTGCTCATCTCATCGAATCGCAAGTCATTAACCATATGTTTCGATCGGAGTACGTGAAATCCATATCAAGAACCTGGTTGCAAATACTTACTATGAGACAGGGACCAGAAGGAGGGTGTTGCGGCATTCTTTGAGAAGCGGAAGCCGAACTTCAAGGCTAACCTTGATGATAGCCCGCCACCGAATGTGCCGTGGTGGACGGAGGTTGATACTGGCCGGAACCCTAAAGTAAAAGTGCCTGCGAAGCTGTAAATCCAAAGCCTGTCATTGGAAATGGTAATAGCGAGGCTAGTATTTTTTGAAAACATGGAGAATATGTATTTTGATGATTGAGGATAGCGCTTTCGGGTTTCATTCAGTGCACACAAGACCATTCGAAGGATGCAAGTCTTGACAAATGTCACGAAAAAATAGCTCTAAATCAACCGCGTTAAAAGGTCACTCCCAATACATTGAAATGCCCCAGCTACCAAGACCGCTAATGATATTGTAACAAAATGAACACCGGCCCGGACAAAAAAGAAAGTCACCAGAATTGGGTTTGAACAGAAGCTCCAAGAGATTCAACCATATTGACACAAACAAAAAAGAAATACTCCAATATCACAAGAGGGAAAAGAGAGAGAGGGAAAGAAACTAAGCAATGAAGTTGCGGCGCTTGCGGTTGTAAGCCCTCTGGTCCTTAAGCCAGTTTCGGTAGCCTGCCACGCTGCCAATCTTCTCGCCATAGTAATCAGGGACGGGGTTGGCGATCGAGTTAGTTGAGGGATCGACACGGAAGCGACGAATGCGATCAAAGAACTCCTTCTCTTTCTGCACAACGGAAACAAAACTCGTTAGCACAGATCAGACCTAAACCGCCATTCACCTGTTTTGCAACTACTCACCGTATTGACAGATGGCTTGTACTTCCTGTACACAAGTCCCCAAATACCATTTCCGAGAGCCGGTCCAAGAAGCCATCCGATAGCACCGCACGCGGCGGTCGCCAATCCCAGGACGATGAACGGATCGAGGCCCATAACCGTCGCACCAAGGTGTTCAAGGTCCTGACCGGACAGGACCTGCACGCCGACACTGGTGCTGATGGCGGAGCTGGCAACTGAGGAGACAAGGGAGTATCGGCGGCGGGAAGCGCGGAGCTTGAAGAAGGAGTCCCAATCGAGCTTGACTTCGTTGTTGGCAGGTGCTGAGGTCGAGTTTGCGCGCAGAGCGATGGGTGATGGCGATGCGGCCTTGGCATGTGGCCGGGAGTCTAGGTTGAGTGTTGCGGTGGCCGGGCGAGCTGTCGTGGAGCTAAGGCGTGTGAGTTGCTTGGATGCCATACGGGGAGTGGTCTGGTGGAGAGGACGGAGGGCGCCGGCGAGCGAGGGCGCGGCGGGGTTTAGTCGGCCAAGGACCATGGCTGTGCGGATGGACATGCTGATAGGATTGGCGTTCATTTTGGTGAGGAATTGGAATTGGTTTAATTGCAGACTCCAAGTCTTGCAGAGGTGAAGTGAGAATCGGAGCCCTGGAGGTGGAGCCGGATTATATAAGCAAGTGGGCCCGCGACTTCCAACGTTAGAAAGGCGACAACCGACATCATCACGATCTGATATGTTAGAGAATACGTTTAACGATCAAGGTGCACTTCAAAACACTTGCAGTAGATGGAGAGTATGCTGAGCTAGGAGTACTACGCGAGAAATGGAGGATGAAGAGAAAGAGTTGATTCTCCAAAACACAATGAGCTATCTATAGCAAGCTGAGGCCTGGTATGTCAAGTATTCTTAGGGACAAATATTTGGTCTTCGACGGAAGCTGGAATCAGTGCGGTGACTTGGCTGATCATAGCAGCAGTGTCGCAAATCACGGCAGGGTAAATTAGAGTAATGAATGTGTGTTAGCCGTTTTTTGGTCTCCTTGAGTTGCCAAGCCATGATCTCTTTTTAGCTTTCTTTGTCTTCAGGTGTATAAGCCAGGTTGATGTCGTCTAGTTCGCTGATATGGTCCTTGATCCAAGCCTTTGTGCCTTTGCTCGGCTCCTTTGGGGTTGGTATCGCGACCTCGCTCTCGGCCTTCTTTCGTTTGGGAGACGTTATTTTTGATATTTTAGAATGTTCTGCTTGCAAGAGAAAGGTGTTATGCGTTGTAGAGTTGGGAGTCGAAAGAATTCAGAGTGGGATTATGGGAGAGATGGTTGTAAGAGGGAAGAGGTGAGATAGTGGTCGATATCTCAAGTAGCTGGGGTAACGGGCATACATGACAGCGAAGTGAGGGCAAAGTGAGAGTTGTTCAGAAATGTTGTGTATATGATAATCATATAAGAATGGAGCTACGTACGCATATTTAATGGTTTAGGTTGCCGCCATTCCGCTGGTCGTATCACTCGAACCAGCTGGCGTAGCCTGGCTTTGTTGATGGGATCCATTGATAATTGGCTGAGCTGCGGCCGATGAATCTCACAAGATATTCCGTTCTTTGGGCTCTTGTTCCGTCTGCTTTTGGCCTATGAAAGGTAGATTATGAGGATATAAATAGTAGAAAAGAAAGGCAAACATCCGAGGGTAGAGATTCGCGGATAAACATTCGATGAGAACGGCCTGGAAATTTAGCGGACAATCCTGTTCCATTCATAAGACAAGGGACGTCCACCCAAAATTATATAAGGATGGCCTCCTCGGGGTGAAATTGCAGCAGCCCAAGAGCCAGAAACCGTCGTTCCAGCCACTCAAGTATTAATCCCTAAAGCACATGAGAGCCGTGGCCAGATGCTGATATATGGCTTTCTTGGCCGATAAGTCGGCGTCATTCATCGATGGGAGAAGCCGTTGGTCCAGGCATAAGCCAGTCTTGGAATATGGATGATGGTTTAGTTTGATGATAAGCAGAAGATAACAATAGGTATAGGGCAGTGGAAGAAAGATGATGGACATATATGGTAAGAGAATATAAATAGTGGAAGAAGGACAAACTGATATGCTAAACGACGATATTTGAGGGCAAACATTCGAGGATCTTATAGGATTCTCCGCTTTTGTAGAAGGTAGGTAGTATTATTGTCTCATCACATCTCCTTACTATATATAGTGCTCTATCCTCTATACATCAAGACTAGCTGGACCACCTCAATTAGGATTTCCAACCGAGAAAGTCTCGACCTTAACCTACATACGAACCAGGGCAATCCAAGATTTTATCTCAATGATGCATTATCTCATTGTACCATTATATATTACAAGTGTAATGGTATGGAGGCAGATAGTGGCGAGGCTGTGGCAGGAATAAAGATGTTATGCCTATTTTGTGCTCAATAGAAAATCAAAGATATATTTCCCCATAGTTTCGCTTAAACTTCCCCCCGCATGGCGCTTAAGAGGTTAAGAGGCGGAAAAGAAATTGGCTTAGCGCAGAAATGAGTTTAAACATGAGCTCATAACACATCACAATATGGAATAAAAGATAATAGATAAAATCCACCAAAGACATTGGACAGAGATAAGAATAGACCCTGGGAACTGGC